GCCCTGTGCTCAACTCCAAGCAGCAAATCCTGTCAAAGCTGAAATCCAATCTCTACTGGTGAATATTTTACTTGGCACAGAGCAATAACGTGCCAGAGGCTGCAATTTACAGTTTAAGTAGCTCACAGTTTTCATATTTATAAAGTAAACAACAAGTGGTATGAAATGGCACAAAGGTTTTGCTGAGGTTTTTTTTGGTTTGTTTCTTTTGAGAGAGTTTAAACTCAATCACCAGCACGTCAAGGCAATGCCCTGGCCTGACATGAACGTGTTCATAGCTGTTCATTGATAATATTGTTTTACTCAGAAGGCCAAAGGTTTGGTTATGTCTATAACTACAAAAAAAGGACTCTTTCTAAGCTAAAAAGTGAGAGGAAGCATGAATGGATTTTTATCTGACCAGTGGAAACCACTTCCTCTCCTAATGCTCTGGTGCTGTGATAAACCTAGGAAATTCAATTCTCTCACGCCACATGAAGCCCGATACAGCCAAGCCACCCTTGAGCACTCAGTATTGTATTTCAGTCAGATCTCTGAAAAAGGGAAGCAAAAGGGCTTTATTTTTAAATACGTATATTGGAAGGGAACAGCTGCCTTTTCAGCATGATGTAAAGTTACTCTTTCTGGACTGTTCATTGCAACGCCTTCCCGCTTGATCTCTTTCCTTCAGAAACAGCATTATTGTTAACCATAAATATATGTAGCTCAACATTCTAGGAGAAAAGGGTCTATCCTTGATTTTAGCCCCAAGTTTACTGACTCACTAGGCAGCCTTTTGCAACACCTTTGGCAAAGGTTTTTCAAAGGCAGTAGTAAAGTGGGGGCCAGTTTGATGTGCTGCAACACGAGTCTGCATCCTCGAGGCCAGAAGCTCTGTATTTGGTACGCACCTCACCCCTTAACACCCACGACCACAAATCACTACTGAAATATAGGAAATACAGTTTCTCTGCACAGAGTATAGGGATAAGAAAAACACTTTTATGTCTTATACAGTGTAAAAGTGTAAAAGGTTTTGTTCATTAAATTACATAGGATGAAAATACATCTATTATATTAGGGCTATAGCTAGCTTATTAAATATACATCTTGCAAGCCACTATCGGCTGATAAATGGATTCTAGTAAGGATTTAAAATTTTAAAAATTCTCCTGAAATTCTCTCCTCGCCTCATCTATATCCAACCCTGCTTGGAAGTCCTTGGGAAGATAGAAAAATGACTCCAAATAGCTCCAACCATGACCCTTCTCCATATATCTCACTGTCCCAAGCCCCATGTTCCGCTTGCAATAATAGCTACCTTGCACACAGGTCATTGCCAAATTTGCTTCATTACAACCAGATTTAGCTTTCTACTGCTTGGAAATGAATTAATTGGCTTCTTGCAGGAGTGCGAGGTGCATTTGAAATAGTTTGCACTATTACTTACTTCCACTCGAGTCTATTATTTCCCTCCTAAAGGTCCCAGAAGCCACGTGCACCCTCAGCGCTCCTCCTGCTGGCAAGATGAAGCTTTCACGAGAGATATAAGAATGTTACTGCTGCAAAAAGCACCAAAACTCACTCAGACACAGGATTACACCTCTAGTCACCTGCAGGCTTGGGGGATAATGTGGCCACTTGGGTTATGCACCCCAACACGTTCCTCAGTCAGTTGCCCGGCTTCATTTTTCCTCTATTTAGGTCAACTGAAGTTGTACCATGCAGACCAAACAGTGTATAAAACAGCTTCACCTAAAACACAGGGGCCACAACCCAGCACGCAAGCTACAGTATTTCATAAGATGAATACTGCCATGCCAGGCATTGCCTTTTCCCTTGTTGGGACACGTTTCTGTCTATAGGAAGTGTAAGGGGCCACTACTGCTTCACCTTAGTTATACTGGACAGCACCTCCTGCTTTCTTAAAACAAGCTGCATCTCACTGTTGTAGAGGCAGAGATTCTGACCTTAAGAGCTGTAACCCGCTTCTTCCTTAAGAAACATTTTTAAATGGAGAATTATGGCCAACCAAATTCAGCACAGCTTGGACTGCACTGCTAAAAATGAGACAGGAGGGTCTGGGGACGGGTGACTGCGGTGTTCAACAAGAACCAACTGCTGGAGAGAAGCAGCATAGTCTGCAGGGTGTTCTTCACTTGCTTGATGTGTGCCAAGGCGGTCCTTGACCTGTCCACCAGACAACCCTTCTTGCCAAGAGAAAAGCACGTTTTACTAAGCAGTCACTTACTTAAAATGCTCATTTACTGCAGGGAACAGGACAGCCAACACAAATACCACCGAGCGGTTGAGACTGTGACACATCATTCCTTCACCCTAGACATGTGACCAGGGCCTGAGTTACTGCTCTTGTGCTTTTCACCCAAGGTCTGCGCTTCTCCCCTAGCAAATGAGTATTAAGCAGCCATGAGGACAGAACCATGGAACAGGCTGCCCCCTACCACATACAGCCTGAACTAACCCAGCATTTAGGACAGATCAACCACTGGTTTACACGGTGTTACAACTAAAGCCAGAAACTACTGAAACATTACAGCCCCATATTCAGCACAACACACTAGTATTTACTTCCTGAAGGCCAAATCTCAATTTTAATGAGGCTTATTTAGAGTAAGCTCTAGCTATTAGCTCTAGCTGCTACAGTATTTTGGTTGAATATCTCATCTACAACCCCCCTCTCTGCATGTTTCCAGACTAAGCTTTCTAAATGACAATTATCATGCACACTTTTCCCCTTCCCCTGTGTACATTAACCAAGACAGGACACAAAGACACCTTCTCACATGCACACAAACATCACAAGGCTGCTCTACCATTACCCAGGCCAGGGACATTATAGCTATATTGATTTATTCAACTACACTAAGAACTCCAAGGTTTTACATTTCAATTGCATTTTTTAAAGGTCTAACTGTTGTTCTTTTGCTTACCTGATCTAGAGAGATTCACATGCTCACAGTACTGTCACAATGTTTGAACTTTCAAGTCTTCTGCAGAAATACTCAGTATTTCACCTTCTAAGATCTTGAAGCAAGCAACGAACGACTAAAGCAGAAACAGAGAAATCTTCTAGATGAAGAGATCTTACTTTCATCTTATTCTCTTGGGGTCAGAAACAGCTTATACTATATATCTTCTTATTGCACTGCATTACGCATGTAGGTACATCACCAGTAATAAGAGCCTCTTTTCTTACCTGCACACACCAAGCCTTTTTTTCCAAGGGATCTTTGTGTCAAATACCCTTTTTTTTCTCCTGATAGCATGAAAATCCCTTGCTCATCATCACAAGCAAGCATTTGAGACAAGCACTAATACCTAAACATAGGAGAAAATCCTCAAAACAAGACCTGCCTCCTATAGTTTGACATCGTCTTCTCACACAAATACACGTCCTCAGCGAATTCCATAAGAATTCCCATCTTAAATGATGTTAAAGATGCTGCACTTGAGCTAATGAAGCTAGACATATTCTTAATGAAGAAATTCATCATTTAGCACAGGTTCCTCATCCTACAAGTCAGTTATGTAAACCCTTGCATAATAATCAAGGTTTTTGCTGCAGACCACACTTTGCACATCCCCTCTAGACTGGCTTAGACTAAGCTGCCTGGCACAACCATCGCTACTGCCAGACTTCGTGCCTTGGATTTACTTTTTTATGGAATAGGGGATACACAGGAGGGCAAACGACCCCCCCAAAGCTCATGGAAATTATCTTTCCTTGATCATCTTCCCCACTGGTCTACTGAAATATGGCTGGTGCTATAAACCAGAGCTGAACAGACAACAGTTCGTACAGTCCGAAGCTCTTGATCCAACAACTTATTCCAGTTTCTACAAGGAAAAGAACTTCAGTACTCAAGGTACTTACTACGTTGTTGAACTACCCATCTCCTCATTTGCCTCTCAGTAAATCAGAGGCATGTTTGTGTAGAGATAACGACATGAGGTTATTCTTCTTTCCTCAGCTCTTCAAGTGTTGATAGAACTAGAATCAGACTGAAATAACTTGGATGTTTAGGTCGTCCCACTTATCTGCACACATCTAACACTTTTACCAATCACATCAGTGTTTTACTCCCAATAACTTAAGTGTAACATCCATTTTTCCCTAAGAGCCATGTGTGTAGAGCCTGAACTCAAAAAGCTATTTTCACATCTATGGCTCTTCAAGAGTACTGACACTTTTCACTTACTGCTCAGGCCATCTACTCAACTCTCTGTGAAGTCTCCTTTTATCTAGAGGCTTTTCCATCAAACCCGCAAGAGCAACATACTGCACATAGCTTAAAAACCCAACAGTTGTCTCAGAGCTCTCTGTCAAACACTCCAAGCAGCCAAATGCATCAGTTGGAAGTGCAGGACCTTCAAAGCAGGCTAATTTGTGTAATAAAAGATAAACAAAAAGCCTCATCTCCCGTTAACAGCAATCATTTAACACTGCAAATGAGATATTCAAGTCTGGAGGAGTGACTCTCATCACCTCTGTCACGAGCAATCCCTTTCAATATCTTCTTAAATTTCTACATCCCTGCAGAGCAGAGGGAGAAGGCCACCTGCTGGCGGCAGCACACAAAACGCTACGGGAAAAAAAGCCCAGGATGGCAATGAGAAAAACAAAACAAAACAAACTATTTTACTATTTTTAGGCAACCAGTTGGGAGCTGTACGAATATTTATGCTAGTCTCCAGTTTATATACAATCACTATGCTGGAGAGAAACACAGCAAGTGTTATTAAAAGTTACAACAGTTACTGCTCAACCCGAATTAAACAAGTCAAAATGGCTAAGACTGTGCTATGAGTGCATTCCTTGCTGGCTGCTGCAAGCAAGTCCATTCCTACTGTTTTAATTGGTTCGACTGCATGATTTCTTCTCTACAGACCAGGTCAAGTAGATAAAAAGCACTGAACTTCTCCTCTGAGAGCCCAAAATTACAGATAACAGGCGCTCATTCTGCGTAACTCCTCATTTGCAACTGTAGAATACCACTTAAGAAATTACGATGTTACTTTTATTGAGTATAAAATACTACATGCAAAGAAAAGCCTCAACAACCACAGAGCTTTCAGCTTGCAGAAGTGGAAAATATCTTCAGACTTCTGTTTGTGATGGGGATGTTACAAGGAATTTTAAGTCAGTTCAAACTTGATTTCCCTCCTCCTTCCCTTTAAGGGTAAGAATTGCACTTGTTTCCTCTGTTTGATAACCAAATCAAGGAAAAAACATTATCTACTACAGAGTTCTTGGACATAAGTTATTCTTTAGCTTCTGTTTTTCCTTCTTCCTTTTCTTCTTCCTCTTCCTCTTTTTCCTCTTCCTCCTTTTCCTCTTTCTCTACCCGAGGAACAAGTCCATCCAGGTTCAGTAGCAAACCTTCACTGGTTGAAGATCGAATGACCAACTTCTGCACGAATGTATCTACAAAAAAAAATAAAATAAAATTCAGTTCTCTTTAGGTCTCTGGACTGATTTGGCTTATTTCTAATCTATACATCAAGCACATGACATGAACCATACACCTATCCTTACTATTTCAGTACGTACTGCTTCTGAATCTAATTCACACATTATTGTCACAGAAGATACCCACTTGGCAGCTATATTATTCCTTCAGTATCTCACCAGCAGTTTATACCACCACCAGCCCAGAGCTTAGAATACACGAATAAAGCTTCATATATTTTGCCCTCATGCTCCTTCAAAAGTAACACATCGAGCACAGATGAGCTCAGGCTGGAACAGGGTCCTGACTAGAGAACGATGGATGGAAAGATCATTAGCAAACTAATCACTTGTTTTTCCTCCAGCAGTCCCATACGCCAGCTGAAGTTCATGTTCTCCAAGCAGCCATTTAAGTCTAGATATATACACGCTTCTTCAAGTACAAGACTTATTTTCTAAGGATATCAGATGTTCAGTTCCACAGGAAACAAAGGAAGAGGCATCATTTCATTGCTAGGCAGCTGAGCATGCAGCAGTTACAGACATATGGCACAACCTAAGGGAAACGTTGGATGGGTTGGTCAAGGGACTGCTGGAGTGTGCAGAGGTTCAAAGCTCCTTAGGGTTTGGAAGAGGGAAGCAACGAGAGCCCAGTTACCGCACAAAAGCGAGACCTGTGAGTAGCGTTTGGGCCCCGTACCTCTCAGACCACCGTGATGAGGCAACCACACACATTAGGTTTTGATAGCTACAACCGAGCTGCTAAAAAAAGGGATCAAAGCACCGCGAGGCAGGAAGAGACTAAGCTGATGCAAAGCATCAAGCGTAATAAATACTGCAGACACACCAATACAACACTTCGCATGGACAGCAAACACTCTTAGTCCAACCCCCATCAGCTCTTCTCCTCTATTTCTATATAGCTCTGTGCCTTTTCAACACCCTATTCCCACCAATGAAATCAGGTTGGTAACAGACTCATTCTAGTAAACACAACCACAGGGAAATCAAATTTATGGCCATCCAGTCCCCACCAATCATTCCAGAAGCCAGGCAAGCAGAAGTGCCATAAATAAATTAATTAATTAATTTAAATAAATCAGAGTCCAGCACAGTGGAACCACTTGTCTTGCTCCAAGCTTCACAGACTCGACCCAGCCTCCTGTTCATCTTAATATGGGAACAGGACGAGACACTCAGGAAACTTCCTATTTCAGGTTCCCAGGACCAAATAGAGAAGGAACAAGAGACAAGAGGAACTTTAGAAATAGATGACCTGACTTGTCTGTGGAAGATAAATTCCAACTCCCACATTACACTCTGAGCAAGCCCACTTGGTATTTTTAGTCTTACATTTGCTCAAGTGACTGAAAAAGGCACGCACTTTTGTGATGACTACAAACCTGCAAAAAGGCAGTCTATTACACGTGGAAGTTCCCACAAAATCAACATGCAGCAATCTGTAATTTCTAGGTTTAAAGGCCCGATAAGGCCTTGTTTGTTAGCAAACATATGTAGACTTCTTGATAAAAAAAGCACTCAGAATCAAACTTGCTGCATTAAATACATTTGGCACTTGTAGGAAGCAGCTAAGAAGCACAAGGAGGGTTGATATTGCAAATAAAACAAATAGAAAAGCTACCAAGTCCTTCTCAAGAAGGGCTTATCCTTACTTCTCAAGACCACTTTAGTTCAGACTGCAACTTCTAAAAGAGAAAATGAAACAAACCCCCACACAATAAAAAGCAGCCTCACTTTCGGCTTCTAAATGTTCATCTCTGGTCAGTATCTTTATTTTAATTTTTTTTTTTTTTTTTTTTTGGGGGGGGGGGGGGGTGGTGTTAGGGGGCTTAAAAGCTCTCAAAGCCCTGCAGACTTTGTATTTCATACTCTGTGTTTGGTTTGCATAGCAGCTTTTATTAACAACCATGTAGAGCATCACAGGAAAAAAGACCAAGTGTTTTTGCAAAAATTAAACCAATATTGACCTAAAGTTAATCACTCTGCTAAGCATCCAGCTATTCTTGCATAAAATTGTTTTTAAATCACTATTTCTACTCCAGTTAAACCGATGACATTTGTTTAAGCTTTAATTTATTATGACAAAGAATAGACCACATGTTGGTTCAGTTCCTTTGCTAGGGAACAATGAGCAGAACCCACAGAAACAAGACAGAAATCATCCTCTTAATCCTTTGTAACCTGATCTTCTAGTTCAGGGCTTTTAAAACCAGAATTAGCAGCTCTGCACAATTAAGAGCAGAAATCCAAGAAGGACCTTGCCAATAAAACTCCAGAACTTGTGGTATGTCTTCACAAGCAACTGCCTGAAATGGGACTAGATTTTAGCTGAAGAACAATTTCAACTGAAGCAACTGCAGTTGGAGTCTGATCCAGGCCTCCAGGCTCTCTTGTCTTACTAGGAATTTCACTGTGTGGCTACTCTCCATTGGAGCACCAACTCTGCAAGCCTAACCTGCTACACAGCCCCATTTCTTGCCTTGCACACACTCACCTCGTGCTGCAGTGCAGTAGTTCACACAAGTGGGAAGAGACCTTATTCATACCCTCATGGCGTGAGATTTACTCATGTGCCTAACAGCTCCCCACTACCATCTGAAGATGGATAAAACCATGGGGTCACCTGATAACATCCTGGTTAAGAGCACTCTATTTATTGAGATTGCTGTAACTTAACGGAAAAGCTACTTACCAATGCTTGGTGGTTTGTACGTGTAGATGTCCTGGATAATAGCTTTTAGATTGTCTACTATCTGCTCAGTAGGCATATCCAGCTGGAAGCAAACAATTCCCAGTTAGCCACAGTGAAACAGAAAGCTTAGATAAATCAACTGGCCTAAGTTACATATTTATTGTCTATTTGGTAGGTAGTATTTCTCCATGTTGCTCCTCCTGTTGAAGAGTTACAAGCTCTATTCACAGTCTCAGCTAAAAGACCCCAAGTATTTTATACAGGGTTATAGGCTCCTTTTTCTTATTTCCGCTCAGGGCATTGAATTATCCTGGCTCTGTACAGCATAGATGTTCTTGAAAGAAATCAAGATTTGAGATAGACGTACCAGCACTTTGACAAAAATCTTATTGGCAATTAAAATTTCAGAAGGAAAACTTTGCAAAGCAGCTGCCAGAATGATAAATGAAAATGAAACACAGAACACACTCAAACTGAACGAAATATATTACCAGAACTGAACATAAGAAATTAGTTTTGGGAGCTTAGGAAGATTTTCAAGAAAATCTTCTTATCTGCTTTGTTCAGATGAGTCAACACGACTGCAATAAAAACCAGTACCTCCCTCATTGGAACAGCTGGCTTCCAAGTCTTATACCAAGTTTAAACCCTAATTGACTCCTGAACTGAATGAACTAAACCCAATAGGTCCAAATGTCCTATATAGCATTTGCAGTCTGTAATCCAGTCTTAAATAATCACTAAGATAAAAAAATCAGTATGTTTCTCTAAACCTCAGCTTAAACTTCCCTTAAGAAACAAGAACTAAAAACACACTATAGAAACGGTTAATCTCTTCATGTTGGAAATAGTCATGTATCCTACATTTAGATAGGGAAAGAGAAGGGGACTCAAAGCAAGTTGTGTTCAGACAAACATGCTCCATCTCAGAGACTACTCAAGTTATTTGGGCGTCAACAGATCAATTGTCAAGAAGCAGCACAGCTCAAAATCTCAGAATATTTCAAAATAGTTTCTTCAAAGTCACCGTAACTTCTAGCATAGGCACACTCAAGCTGTAGCAGAACTTTGATACTAAAGTCTAACTGACACTGTTTTATTCCCTTCTCTAAGAGAAAGGGGATAAGCACAACAGCCCTTTTCTTTGCATGCACATCTCAAAATAGGCATTTTCACTTTGCAGTTATTTCCCACCACACACCCAAGAAAACTCAAGTAGTAAAAGCTTGACCCAGTCCCTCTCTCTCACACATTTCCTGTAGCTGCAGCCAACAATCTAAGAGAATTATTGATGCAGTAACAGATACTCCTCAAAAGAAAGCATTCCAGAGCACCGTGGATTCCTCAGCAAGACGGATGAGCCATTTTCCAGTCCCTGGGCTGATTCTCCTCTTTCTCCTTCCTGCCCCTTTATAAGGTAGCCAGTTTGAACACATTAGCACTGATGCAGTCAGTCATTTTGCAGCCTTTGCTACAACTGAAAGGTCTCCTCATAAAAAACAATGAGGACCCAAGACTCCAACAATAAAGGCTGCAATATAGAGGGAATTCATTTTAGCACCTTGACTCAGAACATAGGCTCCAAATTTTCCTCCTCAACCACCTTTATCAAAATTCATTTAACATGTGTCCCTGCCCCAAAAAGAACTGTTTTTTTTTTTTACGTTTTTACCTCAAGCTCTAAGATATCCGAGGTAACCATTTAAGTAGATCTCAAAGATGTCGTCTGAGTTTTTGAACATCTGAGTCTCATTTACCTTTCAGCTTATAGTTAAGACACCGAGCTTTTAGTAACAATAGTAACATGACCAAGTTGCCACAGCAATATGCAACTTGTGTGTATGAATATTCAATTAAAACAAGATTTCTCTTCTTTATTTCAAAGACCACTTGACTCAACTCTGCCAAAAAGTCATCCTCAAAGGCCACAATACAAGAAGGACCTGTTTGAAAAGCAGGATTGGAGCTAATCATATAAGGCAGTGTCCCTTTCGCATAAGGCAGCCTTCACGTTTGGGAGCTGGACCTGAGAGCAGCTCAGACAGCTAACAGACAACTGTTAGAATCTATGTTTTTCCATGCAGGTCTTGTGTGCTACCCCCAAATCTTTGTCAACTAACTAGCATTTCAAAATGCAGGAGTAAGCACTCAACCATACCTTTTTGAATTGTACAGAAGGAAAACAGTGAACTTGCTTCTTCCCTTCAAGTCAAATTACAACCTACACTCATATCCACAGGTGAGGGAGGAATGTCAATGGGTACCTTCTGTTTTCTGACTTGAACATTATTTCCCATGTACTTCTACCTTCTGTGACCACATCTGTAGAGACCTGAGGCTGATAAACATCTGCCCATGGAAAAAATTGCATCCTTTAGAATCAACATGAGAATTTCACTTACTGAAATACCCTTAGTCTATTCTACAGAAGAACCAATTTCCAGGCAACTCTGCACAAGTGTGGAGAGAAAAAAAAAAAGCTAGATTAGAGCTAGCTTCCTTTTGTCACATTTAAAATCTTTTTTTACTTTAAAAACATGCAGTTTGGAGATAAAGTATGTTGTAGTGACCAAGTGCACACTCAGTTGATATCCTCAACAAAAAGCACCTTAAACTCCTCTACACAGGGAGTCCCACCAATAAATATCCTGAACATCCAAGTCCCTATCTCATTAAGCTCACTTTCTCAAAAGAGCATTTAACACCATTTAAGCCAAATAGTTGCTATTTTCTGGCATTTCAGTTGACATGTCAATTACTTAACCACATACACACATACACTCATAAAAAAAGATACTGAAGCTCCTAACTGGGAGTGCAGGATTATATGCAAGCAATAGGCTATAACTGAACTAACAACAACATTACACAGCAGCCCTGACAGGAAAACATCACTTAGAGAAAGGCCAACTTGGCAGAGCCCCAAGAGCATCTATGCTTCTGCTTGGAATATAGCAACAGGTCTTTATGTTTTGTGTAATTCCCAAAGTGGTTATTTCCTCCCTGCCAAGAGCTCCCTTCAAGAAGCTCTTCATTCATCAGTGTGCAGATGGGCACGGCTCCCACACGCTCCCAGAGCCCTGCCTATCCTCATGAGATGTCCTTACAGCATCGCTGCAGTAACAGGAGCAAATGCAGGTCAGTTAAAATAGAGTAGCTGCAAAGGGTGGAGGCACTTTAGAGGGGCTGGATCCATCCCTCTGCTCACAGCTCCAGAACACACCCACGGTGTGGGCACGTTAGAATCACCCCCACTACGAGGCCGATACTCGCTCACCATAGAGAAACTCCCTGCATGCAAGTAAACCCAGGCATACTCTCCAACCTATGAAGTAAAGAGCTCATGCACAAATAACAACTCCTTATAACCAGAAGGGCCTCCTTTCAAGAGTAGAGAATCCCCAAGAACACCACAAACTGACATCCCAGACCACACACCTAGTTTTTCCAGGCACTACTGAAGGACAGGGCCAGAAGTGCCTAGCAGCAGAATGTGAGGCACTGGGCAACAGTTTTGTGGTAGTTTTGTGGTAGTAACAGCACCTACTTTCTTTAGAAACTCGTGAAGCTGTATGAAGCTATGCCAAGCTGATGAAACTGCAGTTATGTTGAACACTGCCAAATCAGAGTTAATTCATCTCAGTAGGAAAAAAAAAATCTTAACTGCTAAAAACAATGGCAAATATTTCAGGCTAATCTACAGGATAATACACTTAGTTTCAAACCATCTGAATTTTAAGATAGATGAGAACACAGTTGCCCTATTTGAAACAAGGCTAGATCCACAGATTCCACATTTCACACACTCCCATTAAACCTATACACTAACTCTGTGAAGAGGAATAAGATGCACAATCCACCACAACTAGTCAGACTTCACAAGTTATCTTTATCTCTAACACTGCCAGACAAAACTTGGGGCATTAAAGGTGTTGTCAGCTTCCTTGCTATACTGCTATCAGCTTTTAACAACACAGACAAAACTAGAACTTAGGCAAGAAACAGACTAAACAGAACGAAAAATCAAGCCATAGAGCAAGGAAAATAAGGGAAGCAAGGAAGAAAAAACACACACAGATTGCCCAGATTTTGATTCGAGTCAGAATCTCTTACCAAGAACCACTTCCTTGATCAACAGCAAAACAGCCATCAGAAGACAGCCAAGTTTAGTGACCATCCCCACTTGTCTCCAAGTTAAGAGTTTTTACTCTACCAGGCCAGTTCTGAGATTTTTCAATACTAAAAGTCAATCTTCCTTTATTAGGGTGAACAAGAGTCTATTCTTTTTGATGCAGCCGTACATAGTGATTACTGACTTGCAACCCCCAGTTTACATACAGAATAAATACTCCCTTCACAAAAACGAGACAGGATACAGCCTACACTAACGTCTCATGACTCATGAGAGAACCGCTAGATATATTCACCAGTCTTCAATTTGCATATATCATTTCATTCTATACTACAATACACTGCCAATACAGGAGCAAATATAGAACCCATTTTTAACATCCTTAACCACTCGGCATGAACTATACCTTGCTCTTTTTTTTTTTTTCTCCCCTTTCTTAGATTCATTCTGTCTCGTCTCCATAGAATGGACTTAACTTGGTACACAAACTTACTCTTGCTATTCTTGTTTTGATGAGGTGCTCATCTTGCACTGCGTACTCAAGGCCTTCTTTAAAGAACTGCAGCATTTTTGGAATATCTTGACCCATGGAATCTAGTTGAAGAAAAAACAGAAACAAATAGATTATTATTTATTGGCATGACAAAACCTGGTATTGGCAAACAAATTCAATGTTTCAGTTCAGGCAATTAAACAAGAAATTCCCAAAGCAACAGAACTCCACAAGCAAAATCAGACTCCCCTCTTACTCCTTCTACATAAGACACTCCGTCTTCCATCTCCCCCAAATCATCAGCTCACACAAACAGCTCCTACAATAATGTGTGATACAGACTTAATTTCAAATAAGGAACCTGCGAGGAACATATTAAGTGTATTAAAGCTCTGCTGTATAATTCAAGTAGCTTAGAGCCAAAAGTGTTACCCTTGGAAGAAACCCCAAGTGCCTACCTTAAGAAATAAAATTGTTTAAGGCTATCTAACAGCAAGGACATGAACCAGGCCAACCCAAATAAGCTTTTCCACAAGCCAAGACATCTGTTTTTTCATTATCATCTCAGCTACAGGGGCTCATTTTGGCCAACTTACATCATCAGGCCACTGTTTTAAGTATAATAATTTTTCCCCACACACACTCTGATACCTCCAAGAGAAATCATTTGATTTAGAGCTTGGCATCTAAACATGGAACGGCACAATATACACCACTCGTTCCACAATACACCGGGCGTATTCTCTATTGAAAGGCTTTGGACAGGTTAATGGGCTTGCAACCACTGTTCACACGCCTAAAAAGCCTGCCTACAGTTTCTAAAAACATGACCAGGACAGCTGGGGCAGGAAGCAAGCTATCGTTCTGGACTCAGTGCTTCACACAGTTGGCACCGAGTCAGCACTGCTTGAATAGTATCCGATTTTTTTTCTCTCCAAGTTAGCTCCCTTAAGCACAATTACAAATAAAAGAATTCTGCAAGCGAGGACAATAGTACTCAGGGACTAGAGTTTTCTGCTAGGAAAAATGTGACCTGAAGATGGAATTTCTCGAGCCTTATGCAAAGAGAGACCACACAGCGAAGGAAACAGCTTGTACTAAGGAAAAGCTGGAACAACAGCGCTGTCCAGACTACCGATAGGCAGAAGGAGCAGCAGTAGTTACTAAGCTAAGATCCAAAGAAGTTGTGCAACAGTTAGGTGACCGAATTGTCTTGGTGAAACCGCTTTTCCCCTCTAGTGCTGCTGCTACATTTCATTATGTTCATGATGACAAGTATAGGCAGAACTACTAGGCAAACTCCTCTTGACTCTAATCTCATGTTCACATCACTTGTGCAACAAACTCCAGGGACCAGCTTTCCTCCCAAAACTGGGGTTCAATGATCTAGACAAAGATCAATTCTCATCGAAGAGAGACAAGCGACTTCTGGTTACTCACAATCACAAAGACTCAAGGAAACTCTAGTCTCTCCATTAAAAAAAGTGTAGATCATCTCAAGATGAAATCTCATCACAGTATTTTTAGATTCCAATCCTTTAGAGATACAAAAAAAAAAAAAGTCTCTTCTTACTTCTTCTTGCACTTGGATATTTTCTTCTTAATTTGCTCTTCAATGGTATTAATTTAGGCATTATTTCAGGAACAGCTACATAAAAGTCCATTTTTATTTCATCTTCCAAAATCTGGAATAAAGAAAAAGAGAGATCAACAAAGATAACAGAGAGCCCATTATCTCACTCTTAGTTTTGCCTGCTCATTTCAATACAGAGTCTGCTGAACTTGAGATTTCTTGCTCACTCTCCCTCATTCTGTGAGGGGAGTTAAAGTGTTTAATTCACATAATAGTTGAATTCTTGAAAAATAAATACCCATTTGATTAATTCGACTCCTCCCACAAGGGCAGCACCATTCTGTTGAGCTACTTCAGCTTCTTCCTTGTTCTGTTCAAGAGAAAAAGCAATTAGGGGTGTACAGACTACCAGCTAATTTGTCAATATCAACATCACTTGACATGTGACTTATATTTGACAACTAAGTGCAAAAAGATTATTCATGGGTTAAGAAAAACACTCCAAATGTCTCACACAATTTGAGTGTAAACTTAGTGCTGAGGATTTAGCTTTGAAACTGTAATTTCAGCTCACTCCTGGTTCCAATAAGAAAGACTACAGTCCATTTCTTGCAGCAAACAGGAGTAACAAACTTGTCGTGTTTGCTGGATGGGTCTTTTCACAAGTTCTTTTCTCTCTCCAGCCTTCGCCTTCTGCACATTACAAGCAACCAGTCACGAGATGGAGTTGGCCTTGATTGTTACTCGGAGCTGAATGCAAAACATGGAGCACATTCCTGAACACCACTCAACCATCTCTTTAGAAATAAGGCTATTCTACTTCAGAAAGAACTGCTCAACCTCAAGAGAGTAGCAGTGGACATGGACTGATGCAATAAATAGTTTGTGTTAATTTGCTTAAAAAGTTCTTCAGTCTGTGACATCTGCCAAAAATAAAAAGTTTCTATTGTTTCCAATCATGATATCAGAACTCTCCAAGCAGTGACAGAGAAAGCACTTACTCTGATTTCAATTATAAGCTGGAATAAGCAAACAAAAAGCAACACCACCACCTCCCTCGTACAGCTCTGCAGAATACTCAAGTATTTTAGATGCTTTGTATGCATGTAATCAACACACACAGAAGAAGCCATATGAAGATGCTCAAACTGATTGTTTTTTTTGCTCCTTTATGACAAATAAAGGAACTTGATTCCCTAACATTGTTTTCCTCAAGATACACACAATATTCGTGTATTAAAAGTCAGAGCTCATCCTAAATAAAAAAAAAAAGTAGTAACTCTCAGAGCTGAGTGAAAGGAATTTAAATTTTGACAAAAACAGATTAGAGAAGCACTTAGGAAATCAAAAGAGACCACCGTCTCATCTGGAAAGCAGTACAAGAAGTCTACCTCAAATCGTTTTTGCTCGCCACTCCATGCCAGCAAGTCTGGTGTACAGATATTGCTCAACTTGCCTTATGTTATTCCAAAAGGTTGAAGGAGATCGAAGTAGAAAATGTTTCTACTAGTATTTTTTCCTTAATTAACCAACTTGAGCCATATTTCACTTTCAACATCTGTGCAGTTATCACAACTACTCTTAGGCTACTCCTTATTACAGTTTTCTACATAACCACACATCAAGAAGAAGGAAATCTAAGGAGGTCAATACACCTGCTTGCTGATATAACCCAAGCTTGGGTTAACAAACCAAAGACGCTACTCAAAATAACCCTGGGTTTGAGAGTTCTGTAAAACACTTGCAGAATCTTTTGAATAAAGGCACAGTACAAATATGAGAACTGGCTGCATTGCATGACTATGCTGTGTACATAATGAAAGCAATTCTCCTTTACTCACCTCTGTGAAAACCAAAACCTTATTCGTTTCATCTGTAAAACGATGTGGAAGACGAACAAGGCTTGAAAATTGTTCCACTTTTTTCTAGAAAGAAAGAATCAAAGGGCATCAAAATCATAACTTTAGAAGAAATCATGGAAACTAACCTACCAAACTCAACGGCATGGCCTGCAATCAAGAAGCTTAGTACATGCATGAACCCCAGGGCCCCAGGGGCCCAGTGAAACAGAGCAGCAAACAGGAGTTTTGGTTTTTACTTCCCTTCCACTGAGGCTTGATAAAAACCATCATGGTGCAAATACAACATTGCCATCCCAACTGCAACAGCACAACCACCAAATGGAAACCAGCAGTGGCATGTTTTAAAAAGGGCCAGACTAGCAAAAAATAACCAAGGAAACGAGTCTCAGTGACTCTTTCCTTATCCCATGAATCTGAGGGATGTTTCTTGGATACATGCATTACAGCTGAGTATCACCTGCAAAAGCACCCGATGTTCTGACAAACAGGGACATGGCAGGTGACAGAAGATGGACAACAGCAACATTTACTCGTTTACTCTGCCCTGTAGACACCTCTTTCCAGTGTTTTAAAAATTAATAAATAAAAGGCTTTTACCTACTCCCAACTTACTTTCTTCTTTGGTAATGACATATCCAGTGTGACATTAATGTACACAAACTGCTTGGGGTAGGTGAAGTCGAGCTGCTGGAATTTCTTGAGCATGCCCACGGCCACGTCCACGTCGTAGGAGGGCCGCTTGTAGCGCCATGTCAAGTAGACGTCGTCCACGGGCTTGCTCAGCAGCGGCAGCCTCGGGCGCCTCCTCTTCTTCGTTTCTTCCTGCTTAGGTTTCTGTGAACCTTTCTTGGCAGTTCTAAAATGAAAAAAAACCCAACAAGCCACTTGGTTAGATCATTAAGCCAGAAGTTTAGCAAAAGCTCTAAAAACACTTACAGACCATTACATGCCAGTTACTAACTAATCTCTATAAGCAACAGAGTTGTATTTGTGCAGCACTGAGTTAACAAGTCCCTACTGCATCAAAACAGGACTACTTTAAAACAACACATCAACTTTTATGAGTTTTGCCCCAACAGGGTTTGTACCAAGCACCGAGCAGCTTCTCAACCTCAGTAAATCCTACAAACCTTCCCAGTAACCAGAGACTGGCACAACAGCTGGGAGGGCACAGTGGGATTCCCAAATGTCTCACCAACCCTCACAGCAGGAGTCCTCCCCCTTCCCCATATCATGACATATACAGCTAATCAACAAGAGTACCAAAACTTGATTTTGCTGTCTATTTTTACAGGCTCTCAAACTGAAAAATAATCAAAAGTTACAGTTACAGGTAGGCACTTCTATCTGAAGAGCTCTGTACGTAGGTATCAACTCTTGTGGAAGAGTTAACACTACTTCCCTGCATCCTACTTGACTGCTCTATGGGAAAAAATATTTTTTTCCTTTTCTAACTTAGGCAAGAGTGCTGTATTGAAAGAAATACAAAAGGGAACCACAGATGATAGGGAGAAGGGGAAAGATGAGTTCCTTGAACTCAGTTTCCTAAACTCTCTAGCTTCCCAATTGGCGCAGCCCATTTCACCGTAACAGATGCTTGCCTTTTGACGAACTGCCTTAGGAAGGAGCCAAAACGAGCCTCTCCCAAGACTATGACCCTCAATAAGTCGAGGGTGCCAGGAAAACACTGCCCGCTCCCCTCCCAACCTTGTTTGCAGTCCCTCCAGGGTGCCCCCCGACCTCCAGGCACCACGGGGCTTCCCCGACGCTGTTGGTACCAGGGGACCCCCGAGAGGTCCCGGGAACCCACTCACTTGGCAGTGGCGGCAGCAGCGTAGGCCCTGCCGGGCGGCGGGAGACAGCGCTGGAGTGCGGGGGCCACCGGCGGCAACGCTGCGAGGGAAAGCAAGACACTGCCTCAGGCAGGGCCGCCAACGGCCGCCGCCAACGGCCGCCGCCAACGGCCGCCGCCAACGGCCGCCGCCAACGGCCGCCGCCAACGGCCGCCGCCAACGGCCGCCG